GAACAGCCTGACTATAGAACAAAATAAGGACAGCCTGGAGGTAATTCTTCTGTTTTTCCTGCAATTAGCAAGGAAATTTGTAAAAGAAAGTGGTATTATTATGAAGCAATAATCTGTCCCCACCAGGGGGGTGGAAATTGTTTCTTTTGTTTTTAGACTCTACAAGCAAGCTGGCGCCAGCGGAAGAATAACTCAGAATACCATGGATCTATGTTTTGTGTTGTTTGTCTGTGGTGTTTGTCTTGTTGCTAGCATTGTTGTGTTTTAATGAACAGAAAACCTCATGACATGGGTGGGGGATGGCTTCAAAAGGCTGACCTTGGGGTGGGGGTGGGGGGGGGGGGAAGATGTGTATGGGAATGCAAAAGGCTAACTCAGGAGAATCCCAAAATTCAGTGGCCACTGTTAGGATCTTGGGACAAAGACCGAGTAGACGTCTTAAAAGACAAACTCGGCCAACCTAAAACTAAATTGGCAAAAGGAGAGGTTGATTGTTTCATGCAGTGGTGGGAAGAGGCAAATCATAGGTGGACAGAATCAAAACTTGCCTCTCTCAAAGATTCTGGTTTCTATCCCACCAGATGCAACTCATTTTACTGTTGTTGATTTGTGCTCTGCTTTCTTTTCTGTCCCGGTTCACCCTGACTCCCAGTTCCTGTTTGCCTTTTCTTACAAGGAGCAACAGTATACATGGACCACACTGCCCCAGGGGTATACTGAAAGCCCATCATATTTTTCCCAAGCATTAGCCCGAGACCTTGCTGACCTTGTTTTCCTGTCCAGGTCCACACTAGTCCAATACGTAGATGATCTACTCCTCTGTTCCCCTTCATTGTCTGCCTCTGAAACTGACTCTTTAGTGCTCCTTACTGCCCTAGCAAATAAGGGTCACAAAGCTTCTCGCTCTAAACTACAACTCTGTCAAGCTTCTGTCACATACCTTGGCTTTCTCCTCTCCCAGGGTTACTGTGCACTTTATCCCACCCACGTCCAACCTATCCTTAGCTTTCCCCGACCCCGCTCCCCACGCCAGGTCCGGAAGATTTTAGGCATGGCTGGATTTTGCAGACAATGGATTCCCCAATATGCCTCCCTTGCAAAACCTCTCCAGGAACTCACTTGATTCTCTGTGCCTGACCCCATGCCGTGGCCCTCTGAGGCCAATTCTGCCTTTGTTTCCCTCAAACAGGGTTTGGCTTCTGCCCCTGCCTTAGGGCTGCCTGACTATTCTATAGGTATGTCTACACTACGGAATAAGGTCGAATTTATAGAAGTCGGTTTTTTAGAAATCGGTTTTATATATTCGAGTGTGTGCGTCCCCACAGAAAATGCTCTAAGTGCATTAAGTGCATTAACTCGGCGGAGCGCTTCCACAGTACCGAGGCTAGAGTCGACTTCCGGAGCGTTGCACTGTGGGTAGCTATCCCACAGTTCCCGCAGTCTCTGCTGCCCATTGGAATTCTGGGTTGAGATCCCAATGCCTGATGGGGCTAAAACATTGTCGCGGGTGGTTCTGGGTACATATCGTCAGGCCCCCGTTCCCTCCCTCCCTCCGTGAAAGCAAGGGCAGACAATCATTTCACGCCTTTTTTCCTGAGTTACCTGTGCAGACGCCATACCACGGCAAGCATGGAGCCCGCTCAGGTAACCGTCACCCTATGTCTCCTGGGTGCTGGCAGACGCGGTACGGCTTTGCTGCACAGTAGCAGCAACCCATTGCCTTCTGGCAGCAGACGGTGCAAAACGACTGGTAGTCATCCTCGTCATGTCCGAGGTGCTCCTGGCCACGTCGGCTGGGAGCGCCTGGGCAGACATGGGTGCAGGGACTAAATTTGGAGTGACTTGACCAGGTCATTCTCTTTAGTCCTGCAGTCAGTCCAATTGAACCGTCTTATGGTGAGCGGGCAGGCGATACGGACTGCTAGCAGTCGTACTGTACCATCTTCTGCCGAGCAGCCATGAGATGTGGATGGCATGCAGTCCTTCTGCACCGTCTGCTGCCAGCCAAAGATGTAAAAGATAGATGGAGTGGATCAAAACAAGAAATAGACCAGATTTGTTTTGTACTCATTTGCTTCCCCCCCTCCCCTGTCTAGGGGACTCATTCTTCTAGATCACACTGCAGTCACTCACAGAGAAGGTGCAGCGAGGTAAATCTAGCCATGTGTCAATCAGAGGCCAGGCTAACCTTCTTGTTCCAATAAGGACAATAACTTAGGTGCACCATTTCTTATTGGAACCCTCCGTGAAGTCCTGCCTGAAATACTCCTTGATGTAAAGCCACCCCCTTTGTTGATTTTAGCTCCCTGAAGCCAACCCTGTAAGCCGTGTCCTCAGTCGCCCCTCCCGGCATCAGAGCAATGGCAAACAATCGGGCATCTGAGAGTGCTGTCCAGAGCAGTCACAATGGAGCACTCTGATGGGGCAAAAACATTGTCGCGGGTGGTTCTGGGTACGTATCATCAGGCCCCCGTTCCCTCCCTCCCTCCGTGAAAGCAAGGGCAGACAATCATTTCGCGCCTTTTTTCCTGAGTTACCTGTGCAGACGCCATACCACGGCAAGCATGGAGCCCGCTCAGGTAACCGTCACCCTATGTCTCCTGGGTGCTGGCAGACGCGGTACGGCTTTGCTGCACAGTAGCAGCAACCCATTGCCTTCTGGCAGCAGACGGTGCAATACGACTGGTAGTTGTCCTCGTCGTGTCCGAGGTGCTCCTGGCCACGTCGGCTGGGAGCGCCTGGGCAGACATGGGCACAGGGACTAAATTTGGAGTGACTTGACCAGGTCATTCTCTTTAGTCCTGCAGTCAGTCCTATTGAACCGTCTTATGGTGAGCGGGTAGGCGATATGGACTGCTAGCAGTCGTACTGTACCATCTTCTGCCAGGCAGGCAAGAGATGAGGATTGCTAGCAGTCGTATTGTACCATCTTCTGCCAGGCAGGCAAGAGATGAGGATGGCTAGCAGTCGTACTGTACCATCTTCTGCCGAGCAGCCATGAGATGTGGATGGCATGCAGTCCTTCTGCACCGTCTGCTGCCAGCCAAAGATGTAAAAGATAGATGGAATGGGTCAGAACAAGAAATAGACCAGATTTGTTTTGTACTCATTTGCCTCCTCCCCTGTCTAGGGGACTCATTCCTCTAGATCACACTGCAGTCACTCACAGAGAAGGTGCAGCGAGGTAAATCTAGCCATGTATCAATCAGAGGCCAGGCTAACCTCCTTGTTCCAATAAGAACGATAACTTAGGTGCACCATTTCTTATTGGAACCCTCCGTGAAGTCCTGCCTGAAATACTCCTTGATGTACAGGCACCCCCTTTGTTGATTTTAGCTCCCTGAAGCCAACCCTGTAAGCCGTGTCCTCAGTCGCCCCTCCCTCCGTCAGAGCAACGGCAGACAATCGTTCCGCGCCTTTTTTCTGTGCGGACGCCATACCAAGGCAAGCATGGAGGCCGCTCAGCTCACTTTGGCAATTAGGAGCACATTAAACACCACACACATTATCCAGCAGTATATGCAGCACCAGAACCCGGCAAAGCGATACCGGGCGAGGAGGCGATGTCAGCGCGGTCACATGAGTGATCAGGACATGGACACAGATTTCTCTGAAAGCATGGGCCCTGCCAATGCATGCATCATGGTGCTAATGGGGCAGGTTCATGCTGTGGAACGCCGATTCTGGGCTCGGGAAACAAGCACAGACTGGTGGGACCGCATAGTGTTGCAGGTCTGGGACGATTCCCAGTGGCTGCGAAACTTTCGCATGCGTAAGGGCACTTTCATGGAACTTTGTGACTTGCTTTCCCCTGCCCTGAGGCGCATGAATACCAAGATGAGAGCAGCCCTCACAGTTGAGAAGCGAGTGGCGACAGCCCTGTGGAAGCTTGCAACGCCAGACAGCTACCAGTCAGTTGGGAATCAATTTGGAGTGGGAAAATCTACTGTGGGGGCTGCTGTGATGCAAGTAGCCCACGCAATCAAAGATCTGCTGATATCAAGGGTAGTGACCCTGGGAAACGTGCAGGTCATAGTGGATGGCTTTGCTGCAATGGGATTCCCTAACTGTGGTGGGGCTATAGACGGAACCCATCTCCCTATCTTGGCACCGGAGCACCAAGCCGCCGAGTACATAAACCGCAAGGGGTACTTTTCGATAGTGCTGCAAGCTCTGGTGGATCACAAGGGACGTTTCACCAACATCAACGTGGGATGGCCGGGAAAGGTGCATGATGCTCGCATCTTCAGGAACTCTGGTCTGTTTCAAAAGCTGCAGGAAGGGACTTTATTCCCAGACCAGAAAATAACTGTTGGGGATGTTGAAATGCCTATATGTATCCTTGGGGACCCAGCCTACCCCTTAATGCCATGGCTCATGAAGCCGTACACAGGCAGCCTGGACAGTAGTCAGGAGCTGTTCAACTACAGGCTGAGCAAGTGCAGAATGGTGGTAGAATGTGCATTTGGACGTTTAAAGGCGCGCTGGCGCAGTTTACTGACTCGCTTAGACCTCAGCGAAACCAATATTCCCACTGTTATTACTGCTTGCTGTGTGCTCCACAATATCTGTGAGAGTAAGGGGGAGACGTTTATGGCGGGGTGGGAGGTTGAGGCAAATCGCCTGGCTGCTGGTTACGCGCAGCCAGACACCAGAGCGGTTAGAAGAGCACAGGAGGGTGCGGTACGCATCAGAGAAGCTTTGAAAACCAGTTTCATGACTGGCCAGGCTACGGTGTGAAAGTTCTGTTTGTTTCTCCTTGATGAAACCCCCCGCCCCTTGGTTCACTCTACTTCCCTGTAAGCTAACCACCTGCCCCTCCTCCCTTCAATCACCGCTTGCAGAGGCAATAAAGTCATTGTTGCTTCACATTCATGCATTCTTTATTCATTCATCACACAAATAGGGGGATGACTACCAAGGTAGCCCAGGAGGGGTGGTGGAGGAGGGAAGGAAAATGCCACACAGCACTTTAAGCACAGCACTTTAAAAGTTTACAACTTTAAAATTTATTGAATGACAGCCTTCTTTTTTTTGGGCAATCCTCTGTGGTGGAGTGGCTGGTTGGCCGGAGGCCCCCCCACCGCGTTCTTGGGCGTCTGGGTGTGGAGGCTATGGAACTTGGGGAGGAGGGCGGTTGGTTACAGAGGGGCAGCAGTGGCAGTCTGTGCTCCAGCTGCCTTTGCTGCAGCTCAACCATACACTGGAGCATACTGGTTTGGTCCTGCAGCAGCCTCAGCATTGAATCCTGCCTCCTCTCATCACGCTGCCGCCAAATTTGAGCTTCAGCCCTGTCTTCAGCCCGCCACTTACTCTCTTCAGCCCGCCACCTCTCCTCCCGGTCATTTTGTGCTTTCCTGCACTCTGACATTATTTGCCTCCACGCATTCGTCTGTGCTCTGTCAGTGTGGGAGGACAGCATAAGCTCGGAGAACATTTCATCGCGAGTGCGTTTTTTTTTCTTTCTAAGCTTCACTAGCCTCTGGGAAGGAGAAGATCCTGTGATCATAGAAACACATGCAGCTGGTGGAGAAAAAAAAAGGGACAGCGGTATTTAAAAAGACACATTTTATAAAACAGTGGCTACACTCTTTCAGGGTAAACCTTGCTGTTAACATTACATACATAGCACATGTGCTTTCGTTACAAGGTCGCATTTTGCATCCTCCCACCGCGTGACTACCCCCTCAACCTTCCCCCCTCCCTGTGGCTAACAGCGGGGAACATTTCTGTTTAGCCACAGGCAAACAGCCCAGCAGGAATGGGCTCCTCTGAGTGTCCCCTGAAGAAAAGCACTCTATTTCAACCAGGTGACCATGAATTATATCTCACTCTCCTGAGGATAACACAGAGAGATAAAGAACGGATGTTGTTTGAATGCCAGAAAACATACACTGCAATGCTTTGTTCTACAATGATTCCCGAGTACGTGTTACTGGCCTGGAGTGGTAAAGTGTCCTACCATGAAGGACGCAATAAGGCTGCCCTCCCCAGAAACCTTTTGCAAACGCTTTAGGACTACATCTAGGAGAACCGCAAATGCGAGGGCAAAGTAATCCTTTCACATGCTTGCTTTTAAACCATGTATAGTATTTTAAAAGGTACACTCACCAGAGGTCCCTTCTCCGCCTGCTGGGTCCAGGAGGCAGCCTTGGGTGGGTTCGTGGGGTACTGGCTCCAGGTCTAGGGTAAGAAACAGTTCCTGGCTGTCGGGAAAACCGGTTTCTCCGCTTGCTTGCTGTGAGCTATCTACAACCTCCTCCTCCTCATCATCTTCTTCGTCCCCAAAACCTGCTTCCGTATTGCCTCCATCTTCATTGAAGGAGTCAAACAACACGGCTGGGGTAGTGGTGGCTGAACCCCCTAAAATGGCATGCAGCTCATCATAGAAGCGACATGTTTGGGGCTCTGACCCAGAGCAGCTGTTCGCCTCTCTGGTTTTCTGGTAGGCTTGCCTCAGCTCCTTCAGTTTCACGCGGCACTGCTTCGGGTCCCTGTTATGGCCTCTGTCCTTCATGCCCTGGGAGATTTTCACAAAGGTTTTGGCATTTCGAAAACTGGAACGGAGTTCTGATAGCACGGATTCCTCTCCCCAAACAGCGATCAGATCCCGTACCTCCCGTTCGGTCCATGCTGGAGCTCTTTTGCGATTCCGGGACTCCATCATGGTCACCTCTGCTGATGAGCTCTGCATGGTCACCTGCAGCTTGCCACGCTGGCCAAACAGGAAATGAGATTCCAAAGTTCGCGGTTCTTTTCCTGTCTACCTGGCCAGTGCATCTGAGTTGAGAGTGCTGTCCAGAGCGGTCATAATGGAGCACTCTGGGATAGCTCCCGGAGGCCAATACCATCGAATTGTGTCCACAGTACCCCAAATTCGAGCCGGCAACGTTGATTTAAGCGCTAATCCACTTGTCAGGGGTGGAGTAAGGAAATCGATTTTAAGAGCCCTTTAAGTCGAAATAAAGGGCTTCATTGTGTAGACGGGTGCAGGTTTACATCGATTTAACGCTGCTAAATTCGACCTAAAGTCCTAGTGTAGACCAGGGCTATGCCTTTTACCCTTTTCTGCCACGAACAATCTGGGTGTGCACTCTGAGTTCTCACTCAGATGCATGGAGAAAAGAACCGCCCAGTGGCTTATTTCTCTGCCACTTTAGACCCTGTTGCTCAAGGCTTACCCCCCTGCCTGTGTGCTGTGGCTGCTGCAGCGCGCCTTGTCGAAATGTCTGGTTCCCTTGTTCTCCGCTCTCCTCTTACCCTCCTGGTCCCTCACGGACCTCACCCTGCTCCAAGACTCTGCCCCAGAAACTGAGAGAGAATCCTGGGTTGCCCAGAGTTGCTCTCTACATCCTGATTCCTTTTGGCGCTCGCCTACTGGCACCTTTGTAGCCCCCTTTTCACTCTACCCATCTCTGGCCGCCCTGCTACACGGTGTTTCGCATGTCGGAAAGAGGGGATGGTCTCTGCTGTAACAAAGACAGGATGGTGCCCCCCCCCCCCCATTTTAGCTCTTTTGCAGCCCGCCACTGTGCAGCCTGTACCATTTGCCAAAGCCATAATATTTACAGGTAAACCTGTAAAAGTGGCCCAGGGGTTCCGGGGCCTGCCTCAAGCACTGTTCTTGCACAAATGCCTAAGTGTCAACAATATGAATTTATATTGGTTATGGTATGTTTATTCTCCAGTTGGATTGAAGCCTTTCCTTGTTGCAAGGCTGACTCACTGTCTGTTGACAAATGTCTGTTAAATCATATTATGCCTGCCAAGGGAATTCCTGCTACTCTGTCCAGTGATCGGGATACTCATTTTACTGGACAACTTGTTCAACACCTGGACCGTGTATTACATATCAAACCCCTGTTGCACTGTCCCTACCACCCACAGAGTGCAGGTGCAGTTGAAAGACGAAATGGTGTACTTAAGAATACGCTTGCTAAAATTTGTGACTCTACAGGATTAAGCTGGCCAGTAGCCTTACCATTAGCCCTTATGGACCTGAGATCCGCTCCATCCCAAAGGCATAAATTAAGTCCCTTTGAAATTGTTATGGGACGCCCTATGTGAGCTATGACTACCATTACTCCCGTTCCAGATTTGAACTTGACTCACAGTGCGCTCCTTCCCAGTATTGCAAGGGACTAATGCAAGCTGTAAATCACTTCCATTCACAGGTTCGAGCAGCCTGGCCCACGGAACCCACCTCCGACCTTGCCACAACCTCGAGCCAGGTGATTGAGTCTACGTACAGCGCCATCATCGAAAGCATGCCTTGGAGCCCCGGTGGAAGGGTCCTGTCAAGGTTCCTCCCCGACTCTGAACTCTAGGGTACAGATGTGGGGACCTGCATGAAAAACCTCCTAAGCTTATCTTTACCAGCTTAGGTCAAAACTTCCCCAAGGTAAAAAATATTACACCCGTTATCCTTGGACTGGCCGCTACCACCACCAAACTAATACTGGTTACTGGGGAAGAGCTGTTTGGATGCGTCCTTCCCCCCAAAATACTTCCCAAAACCTTGCACCCCACTTCCTGGACAAGGTTTGGTAAAAAGCCTCACCAATTTGCCTAGGTGACTACAGACCCAGACCCTTGGATCTTAAGAACAATGAACAATCCTCCCAACACTTGCACCCACCCTTTCCTGGGAAATGTTGGATAAAAAGCCTCACCAATTTGCATAGGTGACCACAGACCCAAACCCTTGGATCTGAGAACAATGAAAAAGCATTCAGTTTTTTACAAGAAGACTTTTAATAAAAAAAATAGAAGTAAATAGAAATAAAGAAATCCCCCCTGTAAAATCAGGATGGTAGATATCTTACAGGGTAATTAGATTCCAAAACATAGAGAACCCCTCTAGGCAAAACCTTAAGTTACAAAAAAGATACACAGACAGAAATAGTTATTCTATTCAGCACAATTCTTTTCTCAGCCATTTAAAGAAATCATAATCTAACACATACCTAGCTAGATTACTTACTAAAAGTTCTAAGACTCCATTCCTGGTCTATCCCTGGCAGAACCCAGCATACAGACAGACACAGACCCTTTGTTTCTCTCCCTCCTCCCAGCTTTTGAAAGTATCTTGTCTCCTCATTGGTCATTTTGGTCAGGTGCCAGCGAGGTTACCTTTAGCTTCTTAACCCTTTACAGGTGAGAGGAGCTTTCCCCTGGCCAGGAGGGATTTCAAAGGGGTTTACCCTTCCCTTTATATTTATGACAGGTCCTCATCAGGTACTGCTCACTACACAGACGGCTGTTAAACTATCTGGCATCGCAGCGTGGATACATGCTTCACAGTGTAAGAAGGCACCATCCCCAGAGAACCAATCATCACCTCAGGACAACGCAGAGTCAATTTTGACTCCAGAAGAAGACGTAGAGGAACAGTCTGCAATACCTTACAATCTACGCTGTTAGGGGGCTTATTCCTTCACCCACTTACTTCCCTGGTCCTTCTCGCATGAACAGAGAGCAACAATACCCGAAATCCAAAGGTGCAAACAATTCGATGTTTATTGGGGTGAACTTCCAGCAAGCATGATTCCAGTTTCCTTCCTTAGTGTCCTTCCCAGCTCTGACACCACAGAGCCTTACACCTGTGTCCCTGTTCCCATTCCTACCCTTAGCAAAACATTATTCCAATTTCCTTACCCCCATTCCCTGTTCCCATTTCCCCCTTTAGCAAAACATGATTGCAATTTCCTTACCCCCATTCCCTGTTCCCATCTCCCACACACCCACCCCCACTTCCTCATTGACTACAGATTATATAGTAAAACTTGAGTTCTGCTTAGCTATACCTTAACCAATCATTTTCCTGAAATATTAACTAACCAATCCTAACATATTGTAACATGATTATGTAACCAATTATATCCCACCACCTTAATTAGTTTACACCCAGCAAAATTAATTATACAGCAGACAGGATCAATCACAGAACCAGAGAGATTATATAGACAAACAATAGCAAAGTGGGAACTATAATGACAAAACAATACAGAAGTGAGGATTTCACATCCCAGCTATTGATAAGTGAATTCTTGCCAGACAGGATGCTATCAAACTAAGTTTCCTTTTACATTTTCTAGACACTTCCCTTTCTCTGGAGGTGATAGGAATACAATCCTGTCCTGATAGTGCCTAACAGCCCAATAGCACCTTATTTCAATGTGACTAGTTTGGAATGTGAGGATGTGACTGTTCGCTTCCCAGCTTATGGCTGCCTCTGTTGCTTAGCCAAAGGCCTGAGCCTAAGCACAGGGCCTCAGACTGTCACAGTAAGAGAAGACCCTTACACCAGCAGATAGTGATTTTGATTCTTTCTTTTATACCTCTATAATTAGCCAAGTGATAAGAATACACCTAAATTCTTAGAGTATAGGCCTTTACAGACAGGCCTGAATATCTATATCCTAACACACGCTCTTGTAAGGGTTGCCAGAAGCAGACGACGAACAAAAAAAAAAAAAAAAGCAGTAGCGAGCCTAGCGCCTACTGCCTGGTGGGCATAAAACCGTGACTGCGGTTCCCTCAGTTGAGGTTGTCAGAACCAGAAGAGCCTTGCCTCCAACATGCGCCTCTGCCTGTTCCTTGGCTGCTGGTATCTTACGGTCTGGGGAGACCACGATGACAATTCTTTTATCCAGCAGCAGGTGTGGATAGCTCAGACCCTTAATATTTCTAATTGCTGGGTCTGCAGCCACATCCCAGCCCACTCTCAAACTGGTGTTCCTGTCCTGGCTATCCCACTCAAGTCCCCAGACCTCACTGGAGGGCCTCGTCCGTTTAACAAAATATGGAACAGCAATGATACTTGGGAAGCGGTGGGAATAAATGCATCTCAGTGGATAAGTGTGGTGGAGGGAAAAGGTCATCGGTGTTGGGTGTGTAATGGGACAGGGTTGAATCTGGGGAAAAGCCGTTGCCTTCAGCATATTGTGGCCAATGATGTATGGGATTATTCAAACAAAACTAAAAAGTGGCGGGCCGGGTAGGGAGTTATAAATTTTTTTCTCAACCTGGGATCAAACAGAGAAATCACTCATGTTCCCCCTACAGTAACCTTAGTGAAATCAATACAATCTTTCAACGTCATGCAAATAAACACCACTCCTAGTAAGGAGAATTACCCTGTACCCTTTGGGGGATACTACTCCTCCTTTGCAAACACCTATATGACAAATGGGTGCAACCGACCCTTCCTGGCCTTAATAGGCCATCACTGGGTGTGTGGGACCAGACCTTATACCGCACTACCAGCTAATTGGTCAGGAATCTGTTATCCCGCCCGACTCTTCCCACAATTCCGAGTGCTAGGAAGCTTCCCTCGAGAACGCCTCTGCAATTTCAGGCAAAAAAGAAGGGACTTAACAGATGCCCAATGGTATGTAAACAACATAAGCCCCTTAACCTGGGAAGAGGCCATTGGCAGTTCCTTAATACCATTAGGGGGAGTAATACATCATGCAAAAAGGCTGCTAAGGTTACAAGCAGTAGTTGAAATAATGGCAAATGAAACCGGAGAAAGTTTAAGAGCCCTGGCCAAAGAAACAGGGGCAAGCTGACAGATAGCCCTCCAAAACTGTCAGGCATTGGACATAGTGCTGGCGGCAAAAGGAGGGACTTGTGCTCTCATTGGAAAAGACTGCTGTGTGTATATACCAGACAACACCAATGAGGTAATAGATTGTGCTAGCCACTTAGAACAAATCACATATCTTCCCCACAAAGAGCCAAGTTCTGTATGGAGGCTAAGTAACCTTTTCAATTTCTCTGGCATAGGAAACTGGTTGTTTCAGGGAGCCCTAACTCTCCTGTTTGGAATCCTAATAATTTTTGTATGTTTTCAGTTACTTTCCTGTTGTATCCAAAATTGTGTCAGGCATGCTACACAGATAGCTGCCCCAAACCAGAGTGCTAATTTGATTATTTTAAATATCACTGATGAACAAAGAGATAAAGAACGATTGATATGTGGAACCCAGTCATTGTTGGTCATTGTGTAGCTTGACCAAAAGGAGGGATTGTGAAAGTAGAATGAATTATATTGAAATTATAATTCATTAAAGAAATGCTACTTGAAGAGTTTGTTGAATATAGTTGTCAGGAAGAGAAACATTAAGGAGTTTGAGACAACGGGTCCTCAAACTAATTAACTTAGAGCTCCTACTGAGCTAGGAGATTGGTAAACGTTAGTATGCAAATAAGATATGTATGTATATTTGTCAGTTTCCGCTTTCTTTTGTCTCTTATGTTAAATTGGCTTTGGCTTAGCTGTATAAATAAGTTATCTTGAGCCTCAGAGAGGGGCTCACATCTGGGTGCATTAGCAAAGCGCTTGCTAATAAACAGAGTGGTCTGACAAATTATGTGAGTCCTGAATCTGACTTTGACCGTAAGTACAGTATTCATTATAGGGTTTGCCCATACTCTTGCCCAAACTGTCTTTTCAAAAAGACCCATTAGGTTCTACTGAAAGTTCAAAAGCTGTCTTTTCTAGTTCACTTGTATACAGCTTTGATGCCACAGTATGAGAACTCTAACCACATCATAAAAGAGCTGATAGGGAATATGGGATGGACTGGAAACAAGCAGGGAGGATTTTGTTTTATTCAGATAATAACATTAAAATGGTATCCTTTCCAGCAGATGCAATTTCCAGCAATGTAGAAAATGGTGACACTGCAGAACAAAGGTTTAATGCATTTATATGGAAAAAAATCAGTAATGGAACAACTTTCCATGGGGTAGGTTCCATAAATTAGGTTCTCAAATCCATGAATATGCACCACAGCCACTTGCAAGCCCAAGCCCATTTGTCTGCATATCCTTCAGACAAGCACAAGCTGATAAAAACCCATGCAAATACAGTAATGACCCGACTTTGAAAAGAGCTCAACATCCAGCAGTAGTTATTGAAGTATGATTCTAAAAATATTGACTATCCCATTGCATGACACACATACACCCTGTTTTAGTCCAAGCCAACATCTCCCCTATGAAGGAACACTGGACTCCTAAGACCAACCATACTGGGTCAGACCAAAGGTCCATCTAGCCCAGTATCCTATCTTCCGACAATGGCCAATGCCAGGTGCCCAGAAGAATGAACAAAACAGGTAAACCAAGTGATCCATCCCCTGTCACCCATTCCCAGCTTCTGACAAACAGAAGCTAGGGACACAATCCCTGCCCATCCTGGGTAATAGCCATTGATAGACCTATCCTCCATGAATTTATCTAGTTCTTTTTTGAACCCTGTTATAATCTTGGCCTTCACAACATCCTCTGGCAAGGAGTTACACCATGCCCTCAGTTCCCACATAGTCATGTTCTCTTGATATCTTCTGATAAAAATGAAGCATTTGATTTTATACTCACCACTGTATTTTCCTGTATTGTATTCTGCCAGTGTGTGCCCTTAGAATGCAAGGACATCAGGGCAAGAATCCTCTAGTTGCTCTGGCACAGCTCTCCAGTTGTGTAATACCAGGTATACCAATAGTGCTAGAGAAACAATTTTGCCAAACTTTCTATTGAACTGACTTATGTCATCTTTAAGTGTTCGGTCTTTCTCCCCCCCACAAACCAGGATATACACAGGAAGAAGGAAGGATGCCATGCGACAACAGTAAAGTGCCCAAGGAGCAACTTTCTTGTAACACTGAACAAGAAACTGTATTAAAACAAGGAAAACAGCATTATTCCTAAACTTACTCTGTCCCTCAGTCTGTTTAAATGCAGAGCTTCTGCTTAGACCTTCCCGTCTGGCTCCCTGCTTCAGATTTAAAGGAACAGTAAGTACAGATATCCTCAAGGAAAGGGTCTCCTTGTATGTTTTGCGTTTTTTCTGCTTGTTCCCTCTACTTTTAGTCCCTTCATCACACCTCTCCCCGTGACTAGAAATGGAAACCTGAAAACTGAGAGAAGCATGAAAATGTGCCTTCACTCCTTACTATTCCAGTCAAGGTCCCTTGAAGTCACCTTACTAGTTCTGGTTTCGCCAGTAGGGTGGCACACAGGAGAGCTGTTAAGAAGTCTGAAAAAAAGCAGCGTAGGCTAAAGTAATTGGATTTTACCACTGTCGACTACTATAAAGGATGTGTCTAATGTCCCAAAACAAGGCATACTAGGTTGGCTCTATTGTGACATTGCATTGAGGTGACTGTAATAAATTTGGCAACCGTGACCTATGTCAGGTGACTATGAAAAAATCATCTAGTTAGTTCAAGATTCACTAGTGCGTTCGTTTTCAACCTTTTTTCATTTGCAGACGCCTAAAAAATTTCAAATGGAAATGCAGACCCTTTGGAAATCTTAGACATACAGGTTGAAAACCACTGTTCTATGGTAAAGACAACCTCTTGTGGATCCCTTAGACATAGTCTGAGGAATCCCAGGGGTCCGTGGACAACAGGTTGAAAATCACTGCACTAGTGTAACAAATGGGTGACACACAGGAGGGCTTCCAGCAGCTGGACTTTATTTCCTGGCTGCACTCACTTGACGTAGGTCAAATTGCAAAAGTTCATGCCCCCGTCATCTGACAGGTTAATAACCCTAAGCTCCAAAAGACATAACCTTCTTTTGGGTGGAAAGGAGTGGAACAAAGTATATACTCCATGGGACTCTGTTATTTGGACAGCATCCACTCACCTCCGGAGGTTCTCAGTGATTTTCCCCCGCTGCCCTTGTAGGTAAAATGGCTCTGGCAATGATGGCTCTTAATGTACTCCCCCAATATGCAGGAAGCACTTACTATGACTGCTTCCACTGCAGCCCAGCAGATACATCTGAGCTGTTTTTATATGTATGCTGCCACACAAGTAACTTGGTCTGAATTTTCAGGGGAAAGTGATGTGGAGAGGGAGCAGGAATTACACAAGGGGAGAAAAAAGTTCAGGAGAACCTGGCCTTTTATCCTCACGGGACTGTGCCCATACTTAGCATCTTTGTGGGGCTAAGGGAGATTTAAAAAAAAATCAAATTCTGTCAAGAGAACTTTGTAGATGTGAATAGCTCTTACCTCTGGAAATCTTAGTGTTTGCTTGCCAAGTTTTCCAGAAGTGGCGGGCTAGTGATTATGGATGCCTAACTTGACATGCTTTGATGAGTTCTGATTTTTAGAAAGTGTGCTAAAAGAATCAGTCTCTTTCCGGGTATCTCAGATCGGGTCTTCAAAAAATGGAGGCACCAAAAAATAACTAGTCACTTGAAAACCTTGGCTGTTGCTCAGAAGCCCTCAATTTTGTGGTTCTGGCTTGCCTGACTCAGCAGTGTTTTAACACTTGCTAGACTTGTTGACAGCAACATAAGGCTGTTAAGTTCCCAAAAGGAGTAAGTTTGTTTCTTTCAGATTTTATCCCCTATCATCAAAATTGTATTTGGACTATACACTCCACTCCCTGAACAGACTCAGGTAGCTATTTTCAGAGATGGGGAGTTAGATTTCATAGTGGGCAGGCACACCCTTGTTATCTCCTGTGTGTGCATTCGAGTGCATATCTAGTGCTGATGCACAAAAGTATCTTCAAGGGACTGCAGAGATGTGAGCTATGACTATGTTCTGGTTTTGTCTGTCCCTTCCAGATAGTGCAGGTCCTGAGCCTTCCTATTACAGGACAAATCATACTGATTGGGTGACATGAGGCAGGGAGTGGGTTCAGGAAACCTAAAAAGGCTTTTTAATAATAGTTACTGGAGCACAGGGGAGGTGTTTATAAACCTGTCACTTAATGAAGACGTATCCATCCATCTACTACAAAAAGGATATATTAACACTTAGAAGGCTGTTGCATAAATATCACAAAAGTTGGATTTTAAGGTTTCTTTTAAACCACTGAATTTAAAATTAAGAAGCTATAGCTATAGTAGAACAGCAACACGCTGCAGCAGGGTGTACTTTCCTGAAGGACAGAGGCCTTCTACTTCACAATATACCCAAGGAACATATTGCCGTGTAATGCACACCACAGCAGGGTGTGCCACTTAACACCTGCAAAAGAGCTAGAAGTCTGGCACTCATAAAAGGCTCTGAATTAACAAGCTTGCCATAGTTATGTAAAATTAAACAATAACGAATACAAAATACACAGTTAATGGGGTTATTCTGTTGCATAGACTCAAGGACAGGAAAGTGACAACTGCTGATCTGTGCTTGTGCAATTGCTCTTTTCAGTGGGTGGAGGAAAAGACCCCACCCCCCACACAATGGTAAATAGCTTCCCTTCTGTTATAAATGGGAGAAATCTGACCTCTGCCAGTCAGAGGGTTGAGAGCCTGCCTTCCAGAGGGAGGTACCTGTTCCATTTTGGTGAGATCCCAGAGGGCAAGGTGTGTGGCAGAATGAGTGTAAGACCGAAGACCTCAGCTGGAATCATCTGGGCTCCTTTTTCAAAAGGACAGGTAGAGTGTTTCCAATTTTTCTAAAATGTGTTTATAAACACTTATGTTTAGGGGTTATAGACTGGAAATTATGAAGCCACTACTGTCTGTGACTTTTGCTCCTGGTTTCTCTTTGTCTCATTCTCTTTATTAGAAAGGGAGGCATAAAGAATATGGAGTAAGCTACTCGTTTAGCACAGCTTTCCACAGCTCTGGATGAGAAGGCACTTTCACCCATGTCAGTCCCAAAGGCAACACTTAGCGTTGTTTTGTTCTTAGTGCAAATGTTATATTTCAAAAAAGTTCTGTTAAATTCTGTTTGGTTTGAGCAACTGAAGCACAAGAGAACTTCTTCTCTGCCCACACCAGCTTTGTAGATCTCAAAACTCCCTTATTAATATTCTCCATTTGTCATGAACATAGTTTTCATTCATGGATGAGCAAAGAGTAGGGTTAAACATAATTACACTAAAATTGTTAGCAATTTACATTCTTTATTTGTGTAATATGGGAGTTCTCCTAATCTTAATGGGATCTTGTAAGGGGGAGTTCCGGATATACACCTGCCCGAGCACATTGAAATTACTGCAGTCATGCTTATTTCAATAATTAGGCACAGCATACACAATGCCTCTGATGTGATTATACTTGCTTCCAGATTATACCCTCCACCATCATATATGTAATAATCTGCTTCCAAGAATGAGGTTTAGTCCTTTAATGATGAAGATGGTAACTTCCCCCCTCCTCCTAACACACACAGACATGAGGTTCATGGCATAGGACATAGGAAATAAATAAATACACAAGTAAAGAGAGCATACTGGTATGGAAATATTAGCTCATTAACTTTTGTGATGCAATACTATTCAAAAACATAACTAATACAAAGAATAAAGAGCTGGTTAGAAAACGTTTTTCTGCAGGAAAAAATATTTTCAGAGAAAAATTAAAAACTGAAATATTTCAGTTCTGAAGTTTTGCCACTGTGTCTCATGTGAGTTGTAATTCAGGTGTATCTTGCTCCTGTTCTCCTCTACAAGCCAGGCTCCCTGGTCAGACTACACCTCCCATAATGTATCACAGTCTCCCCTCAGTGGCATTGTAGGGGTAGGAGGCTGAGGCATCATGGGAATCAAGCGGCCATAGTGCATCACGGAAGATGAAGTCCAGCAGGGGCCTGGCCCACAGATGAGAATAGCGGCACGAGGCACCACAGCAGCACTTCACGAGTGAAATGTCTTGGTATTCAGTTTTCGGGGGGGAGGGGGTGGGGCAGATAATTTGAACAAATAAATTGTTTAGTCTAAAATGCAAATTTCCATTGAAAATCAGGGTTTGATGGAAATTTTCAATCAGCCCTAGTATGTTTAGAAATTCCTACCTTGATCAGCTTTAAGCATTCCAGTGGCAAAGCTGACCACTGTCTAGGTGGCCTTCCGATATAAACAGTATGACTATATGACTAAACAGTGTTATATAGAAAACTAAATTTAAGTCACCTTATTTTCAGGGGTGCTGAGCACCTGCCCTTCCAGTTAAAAATCAATTGCAGATGTAGGTGTTCAGCACTTTTAAATATTAGGTCCTCTTTTGTAAGGCTTTCCTTCAGATAAACTTACTGCATCACCCCCAAGCTGAGCTTTTCCTTAAGAAAAACCCTGCCTTCTTCAGCCTGCTGTAAGGGCATGGTCTTCAGTCCCTTTTTATTCAGCTAGCAGCATAATGCTGTAGCCCAGTTCAGCTTTGTCTCAGAAACAAAATTACACACACTGGAAAAGAAACAGATTCTCTTTCCAACCTGGAATTTGCTTGCTCCTGGTACCAGCACACTCTCTTTCTACGCTCTCCATTTCCAAACTGTAAAGTGCACCTGAGGGTGAGGGCATGACTTGTAGTTAGCTGTGGAGACGCTCATTCCCCTCCTACATGCACTAATAATTAAAGTAACATACCCATTTATTCTTTTTGAGAGTTATTCCATTTCTGCAATCCATTCCTTAGAAAACCTTACCCCAAGTATCACAAAAAATTATAATGTCTAGACTGATACAAACATGTAATACATAACGTTCTGCTTTGGCTGGGCTGCTTGTACTCAGAGGCGTTAGCTGGACTTGCTTTTCTTTCTCCCTTTCTATTAATTAGCCTACAATATGTGATGTGTAAGGAGTTGCAGCCTCTGGGGTCCCAAGTCCCAGAATGAATGTGTATAATGTAAGGCCAGATTTTCAAAAGAGCTCAGCCTCCAATGTTCCAAGTGCTTTTGAAAATCTGGCTCCAACGGTGGCAGCTGATCACTTTCAGACATGATCATATCTCAAAAACACACAAAAAAAACCCCCCAATAACAAGCAAGGAATTTAAAGTGTGTGTGGAGTGGAATCTGTTAAGCAACACTGAGAATGAAATTCCTAACATTTGCAAGTGTGAATATCAAAGTTATACACTGCAACGGGGCCAGTGCGTGCTCCACCCCTTTGAAAATCAGATAAGATTCAACATTTGCAAGTTATATATACCCTCTTGTTTCTGAGCATAAGTGAAGCCACTAACTGATGCGTTTAAAAAGAAACTTACTCTATGGGGGCAAGTTATTTCATATTTGCCTATTTTAGGGTTTCTTCCACCTTCAAAGGGGAAAAATTACATTTCTCTTCTTGCCCAGTTAGGTGGTACCAGACATTGATGGAGACAGAATATGGGAGTAGATGGAACTCTGGTCTGATTCAGCAAGGCTGTTTCTCTTATGACATAATTTATTGGTATTAGAATATAGCTATTTCATTTTAAATGTGTTTGTTTCAAAAACTCATTTTAGTGTTAGATAAAGCATCTCTTTCCACTGTGAAATAGTTTGTAGTAGAAAGATAAGAACATAGAGAGGAATAAACGATGGAGACTTTGTTTTGTATTTCTGGCCCTGGACTGGTACTCAGGAGACGTGGGTTCAGGTCATGCTCTGCCACAGACTTCCTAAGTAACCTTGAGCAAGTCATTTAATCTTTCTGAACCTCAGTTCCCTGTCTGTAACATGACAGTACTTCTTTTCTCCCACTTTTTGATCTATTTAGATTATAAACTCTTCAGGGCAAAGACTGTCTCTTACTATATATATGTACATCTAATAGAAGGACACACCAGTGTGATTAGGGCATTAACTTAGGATTTGGGAATCCTGGGTTCAAGCCCCTGCACCACCACACACTAACTGTGTGACCTTGGGGAAATCACTTGGACTCTCAGATCCCCCTCTGTAAAATGGAGGTAATAGCACTTCTCCTCACAGGGTGTTGTGACAATAAGCCCATAAAAGATTGTGAGGTGCTCAGATACTGCAGTAATGTGGACAATACAATAACTAATCTTAGCTGGGGCTTGTAGGTGCTACTGTAACTAAAATAATATATTTTATTAAGGTTACCTGGACTTCTCCCTTGAATCCAGGTGTCTTCTGACAATAATTCGTATCCTAGCTGGCATGTTCCGTTCTCATTTTCCACTGCAAACAACTGAGTCCTGCACGTCTTGCTCATACAAGTAATTCTCATTCACACACATGGTTTCATTGAATTCAAAGGGATAGCTCCGATAAGCAGAGCTCATAAACATGAGTGGAGCCTTGCATAATGGTGCCCTGAATCTGGAGTGTCAAACTTCTAGCTTATTTCTATAATAAAGAACGGAGTGGTGTTATCAGCAAAGTGTTGCAGAAAGGACATTGCTGAATCCAGGCACACGGGAGCTATTTAAAACTGGCTGTTTTGTGCCTTTGAGGCCTCCAGCAGTCTCTCCTCCCTCATGCAGCTGCGCTGTGTACTTCAAAGACAGCTGGGCTGCTTTAAAATGTAGCTTGTACTTACAGCACTACTTTGGGACCAGTCAGCCAGTTTCCATTTCAACTTTTTAATTAAAAGTCAGACTGTAAAATAGCTCAGCCACAGCTCTGTGCTGTTGCTTGGCTAGAAGAGAAATGTAATTCTCCCCTCTGAAGCTGGGTTACTTCAGAGGAACCAGGAGAGAAACTTCAAAGGCTGCTGTGTCCCTCCTCTGGTCCAGCCGCCACGTTTCCCAAGCAGTCGGCCTCTGACAAACCTTTATCTATAGATATGAAGAGGAGCCAGTTTACCTTTAAAACAACTCACCTCCCATTAACGTCAGTGTGAGCTACACATGTATCAGGCAGATGGACTGGGCGCAATACAGCAGCTGCTCTCTATGGCACAATGTGTTCAGTTTCAGTCTCAGAGCTGGCTAATAATTATTTTAAATGATACATTGAAAAGGACATGATCATTTTCTTTAATAGGCAATAGAAGAAACCGTTACCCTTACAAAGGATAAAAATGCTCTGGTGAACCTGTAGTGAACGTTTGTTTCTGTATTGTTAACATTCCCTACATCCAGAACCGTTCTTTTCCTTGCATGTAACTAACACCTTGTCTATACTACCACTTAAGTCAATGTAAGTTATGTTGCTTAGGGGTGTAAAGAAAGAGTGATGTAACTTACATCCACTTAACACAGTGTCTACACCATGCTATGTTGGTGGGACACGCTCTCCCATTGACATAACTTCTGCCTCTTGTTCAAGTGGAATAATTATGTCGATGGGAGGGCGCTCACCTGTCAACTTATCGCATCCTCATCAGACCCACTAAATCAACGCTGCTGCATCGATCGTAGCAGTGCCGATGTAGTGGGGGATGAAGACAAACCCTTAGACAGAAGCTTTCGGTAATTTCATATCGAACAAAACGTATACAAGACGACAATGATTTTTGCTTTCAGTTGTTTGAAATGACCAGAAGTCATGCTTGAGAATTCCTAGGCTAGGTTGGATATGAAAAAGAGATCAATTTTGTTAGCTGATAGAACTGTTTAAACACAGAGAATGGCTGAAAATTACCATTACCTGAAAAATTAGACTACAGGGCAATTACTTACTTCTTTCGAAATAGATTCTGCTTGATGCTTGTAAACTACTTTTCAAGTATCTGGGCTCCCTTAAGGTGCAGTTATGTGCACCCATGGATCTATTACAGCAATTTATTTTCTGTGCCCTATTTCAACTACAGCCCCGATCCTGCAACTGGGTCTGTGTGGGTGGACCCATGCAGAGCCTGATTCATTTCAACATGGATCAGCTTGCAGGATAGGGATCCACATTTCTTTCCTGAATAGATTTTTGCCTCCTGCACTTACATCAGAACAGACGAGGTGATATACTTGTTTTTCTTCCAATCAAATTATTTTAGAGCAGCACATTTGCACATAATGTAGTGTTTAATGTAAATTCTGCTCCAAAACAGGTTTTTCCTCTTACGTAATTACTCAGGTACATGATCTGCCTGACTTATTATATTTCTTATTAATAGGCACGGGAAGGAGTGGAAGACGGGCCGGCAGCGGTGAAGGAAGCTGGCCTGATTGATAAACTAACAGCCCAAGGTATTTTTCAAATGGAAAACACAAATTTAAATACAATTAACATTATCCTTTATAAACACACCAACAAGTACGCAAGCAATGCTCTGGCATCTTCAATGAAAAAAAATGACAAATGTTTAAATAAAACCAAAACACTATGTTTGAAAATTTGCAGAAAATTGCAAAGTACCTAAAAATCACAGAAGCTGTACAAGTTTTGTGCTCACAATTTTTTGTCACCCGAGAGGATTTCTTAAGTGTTTTGAGACTCTTACCTTCTTCATGCAAATTGATCCAGAAGCCCCAATTCTACCCTGCCCCTCCTCTTGGCCAGCAAAAAGCATGTACTTATTTTAGATTTCTGGTGATGTCATCTTAGCAGATACTCACTTCGTATGTCCAAAAGTAGATTTCCCCCCCAATCACTTACTGTGAAACTTTATATTTTTCGAAGGCTGGCCTTTCAAATGTGTGTGAATGAAAAAAGCGGGCTTAAGCTGAAAATATGTTTCCCATCCCCACTCCTCCAAGCTCAAAACCACTGGAGAGATGTTCTTCAAACTTTTCTGGAGCAGAGGGAAGCTGCCTAGGTCACAGCCCCGATGGTGCTTGGGAGGCTTAGAACTCTGCTGAAGCCTTGCAGAAGTAGCAGAACCCAACATTTATTTGGTGTTGAATTAACTGCTGCCTCCCCATCTGACAGAGCGCTGCCTTGTACTTGTACACTGCTGCCTACTTGGTACTTATATAGCCCCCATTGCCATAGTATCCGAGTGCTCTACAGTCTTGGATGTATTTATGCTCACAGCACGCGGGAGGTAGAGAAGTGCTATTAGCCCCATTTTTCAGCAGGGGAACTCAGGCACAGACCAACAAAGTCACTTGCCTAAGGTTACACAGGCAGCCTGCAGCAGAGCAGGGAATTGACCCAGGAGCAAATCTAGGACAACACTGTAACCACTGCACCATTACGAATTATTATTATTATTGGTATTACTGCAGCACCTAGGAGAACCAGGACTCCATTGAGCTAGGTGCTGTACAACCACAGAACAAAACACCAATCCCTGTCCCCCAAGAGCTCCTTTCCCTCTAAGCTAGCAGCTAGTTCCTTCCTCACCTGCCCTTGCTGACCATCTCTTAGCTATTCTGGGGGGTGAAAGTTTGCTCTCCTACACATACCTCTAGAAGCCATGCTAGTAATAGCAGCATAAGCTCCAGCCTCCGGATTTTCAGAATGGTAACCGAGGCAAATGGGTGAGTTGGGTTAGGAACTGCTCAATAAGGAGCTAAAGAAGAAAAGCAGAGTTATAGATTAAGCTGCAAACAATAAACACACCTAAGCATAAAATAGCTTTGCAAATGACATGTGATTTACTCCGTATTACCTGCTACACAATCATGTTCAATTGTTTTGAACAGGAAATTTTAAATGAAAAATGTACTTCCTTGTGACCTTTAACTTCTTTCCACTGTGCTAACCCCAGGGTGTGATGTTAAAGATTATGGAGCCTTGCAGTTTGATGACATTCCCAATGACAGACCATGTCATAATGCAAAAAATCCTAGAAGTGTTGGGAGCGCAAATGAGAAGCTAGCCAGCGTTGTGGCAGAAGCGAAGAAGAGTGGAAGAACCTGTTTGGTAGTTGGCGGTGATCACAGGTCCTTTGTTATACTTGTCTGTATAAAAGCATGAATGGCTTTCAGAGCTGCACAGACTACCCAAATGAAAAGCCAGTTCATTTTTAGCTAAGTTCTTTCAGTTCAGTTTCAATACTAGCAGTTATCTGTTAAATCTGATCAAAAGCCTTTTCCCATGCCAACATCCCTTTAAAAAGATTGGTAGAAGAGATAATCAGCCTTGGAGTTTTATGTAGATTTGGGTCCTGATCCTATAAACACTTATGCAAGTGCATAATTTTACACAGTGCAAATAGTTCCAGTAAGGGAGGGGTGGGTAGTTAACGTGGCTGTTCACCAAAGCACCGATCCAGCAAAGCACTCAAGCATGAGCATAGCTTTAAAGAATGTAAATGGTGTTGGGATTCCCTTGGAGATCTCTTCATTCAGCTTCCCAAGAACTCAGTTCGACTCCAGATTTCGTCACTCAGGTATCGTAATTTGGCATACAGCAATGCTACGCTGAGTTGATCAGGGAACATCACAGCTCCAAAGTTATACAGAAACTATTTCTCTTTGTACACATTCACACATGGCATTACATTTACTGGACGCTGCATCACTCACTTTAGGATCAGATTGGTTAATCTGTAGGAACCGATCCCAGTACCACATGTTCTATCCACATGCTGTCCATTTTAGACTCTCTTTCCCTCATTCTCTACATTCCTAATTTACTTTGTCCCTTATTATCTAGTTCATAGTAAATAGTTCCCTGGGTGTTCTACCTCTCATTTTAGCTAACTCACTCATTGTCTTTTTAGCCTACTGACCTATCTACTTATCTTATTTAGCACAAATGTCCTGTTTTCAGCCTGACGATTCATTTACCTCCCTAATCCTATATTCCAAAGAATGAGGTCTCCACACAGATGTTAATTACTTCAGGCCAGGTCTCAACAACAAAGAGTCTCATTCACTTCATTGGGACTATTCAAATTGTGCATCTTTAAGCACTTGAGTATACCCAGCAGAGTGAAGGGGACAACTCACATTCTACACATGCTTGAGTGCTTTGCTGGATCAGAGCCCAAATGACCATTCTGCACCAGGGCATCTCTGTAGTATGTGAACTCGCTAGCCATGTTCCTGCCAATGTTCCAGAATTTTGCCCTGTGTGTCTGAGAGAGTGTTGACCCCCGAGTTCAACTCCATAGTACACAGGAAGCCAGCCACACCCTTTCCTTTTCCAGCCTTCCTCTTCCTGGCTTCTCCCCACACAGAAGAAATATAGCATTCCCAGCGCATGACGAGCCTTCCTTGGCTGCACAGTGGGCTGCAGATTTTCAACGTCAGAAAATGTTTTCCAACAACAAATACTTTTACAAATAAGTTTAGCATGGTGCTGTGAGAAGGAAAATATCTTGTGTGCTGTGCCATGTAATGCCTGTGTTTACACACAACTCTCTGTCTATTCAGCTTGGCAATTGGAAGCATATCTGGCCATGCAAAGATTCACCCTGATCTTGCTGTAATTTGGGTTGATGCCCATGCTGATATTAACACTCCATTGACATCATCATCTGGGAACATGCATGGGCAGCCAGTGGCTTTCCTTCTAAAGGAATTGAAGGACAAGGTAATACAATTGCCATCACCTCTTTACATTGCAACTATCTTGGAAACTCGTCCTAAACAGATGTGGGTTTTTGCTCATCCTCTTCTCCCCCTTATTACTATTGTAACATTTAGAATTAGCAAGGGAACCTGCCCACCTATTTCCTCATATTGGGACCCCTTCTTCCCCATGGATCACCCATGGCTCCTGTGGGCAAGAAGTCTGGTAGTCCCTGCCCTGAACCCTTGGGGTTAGCAAGGGGCTTCAAAGCTCTGCCACTGGTCGGGAGCCATGGTAAAGGAGGATCTCCAAGGACCCAGTGTCCTATGGCTCTGATTTGGGGGCAAGGTTTGAAATTCAGCCTGCTCTCAATCCATCCAACCTTTCTACACTCACATTTTGGGCTTTTTAAGAAGTCAAGTCTTATTCTTCACCCTCCCCCTTTGAGGAGGAGGCTGGTTGTTATGGGGATAACCTAGTAAAAATAAAACCTCTTTTGATCCTCTGAGATGCCTGATGTTCCAGGATTCTCGTGGATAACCCCGTGCCTGTCTGCTGAAGACATTGTGTATATTGGACTAAGAGATGTGGACACTGCTGAACAGTGAGTCTAGTTCCTCTCTCAGTAGTGCTCAAATGCCACATTTCCCTTGCCTAAATGGATGTGTGGTGTTGTTGCAGACTGCAGAGTAGGTGCCTCCTTGACCAGTGTGAGGCTTAATGTGATGTGATTTGGAAATAACTGGCTAGGCAGTAATACTGCAGAAAAGAACTGGGGGATGGGGGGCAGGGAGGATATAGTGGATCACAATTTGAATATGAGCCAATAATGTGATGCAGTTGTGGAAAAAGTCTAATATTCTGGGGTATATTAACAGAGTGTTGTATGTAAAACACAGGAGGTAATTGTCCCGCTCTACCTGGCCCTGGTGAACCCTCAGCTGGAGTACGGTGTCCAATTCTGGGCACCACACTTTAGGAAAGATGTGGCTAAATCAGAGTGTGTCCAGAGGAAAGCAACAGAAATGAGAAAAGTGTTAGAAAACCTGGCCTCCAAGGAAATGTTAAAAATAAAATGTGTTTGTTTAGTCTTTGAGAAAAGAAGACTGAGGGGGGATCTGATAACAGTCTTCAAATACGTTAATGGCTGTTATAAAGAGGATGGTGATCTATTGGTCTCCCTGTCTACTGAAGGTCGGACAAGAAGTAATGGGGCTTAATCTGCAACAAGGGAGATTTAGGTTAGTTATTTGGAAAACTAAGTATAAAGGATAGTTAAGGACTACGATAGGCTTCCAAGGGAGGTTGTAGAGTCCCTGTCTTTGGAGGTTTTTAAGGACAGATTAGACAAATACCTACCAGGAATGGTCTAGGTTTACTTGGTCCTGCCTCAGCCCTAGATTTCTATGATTCGATGATGGGAGAAAATAAAGCAGAAAATAGGCCCACCTTCCCCAAAGACAGACAAAATCTGCAATATATAAATCAATAACTGCAGGGAGCAGACAGTATCTTTAAATATCATCTTACCTCAAAAGGTCATGCTACATTCACCAGAAGTGATTTCCCTCCCCTCCTCTCATATCTGCTTTCTCCGCTCATGTTCATGAGTGAAACATGGGGGGAAAATCCAGTGACAGCAAAAACTTCCTCCCAAACTGCTCAACCCCTTTTTGCTGACTGAATGAAGCCTGCACCCACAGCCATCAACACCTCTTCTCTACCTTTGGCTCTCTCCTCAAACCAGCTGCTTGCTCCTCTCCTGTGCTGAGGAGTCTCTCCAATTTCTTCAAAGAGAAAAGATGCAATCCAGCAAGAACTCTCACCTTCCTGCCCATCCCCTACTCTGTACATTTCATCTTTTTCACCCCAGTCTGACTCACAGGTCTGTCTCCTCCTTGTCCTCTAATACCCAATCCAACCTCTCTACATCATCTCTTAGCTTTCCCTGCTCTTCTTTGCCTCTTCTCTTATCCTCACCCACCCATCTGGTTCTTTCATCTTCAATCATCTGCTTCTTCAATCAAAAAATATCTTTGATCAACTGCTCCTGCCTGTCCAGCTATTGCTCCCTATCCTTCCCCTGTTTGCCTAAACCAGCATGTGTATAATAAATACATACATTTTAAATCCAAATTTAAGAACTTAAATATTGATTTGTAGGCATCTAAATGGTGACTTAAGGCATCCAAGTTCATATTAACTAAATACATATTTCAAATATAACCAATATAGATTAGGTGCCTATATATGTGCTCAGATACCCAAGTTCAAAAATTAAGCACTTGAATATAAGCAGAATACTTTACCCCCCACTCTTGCCTTTATAATTCATTCATCTGGTTGATAATTTGTAAGCAGAATTAAAATGTAAAATTTACTTAATATTTGTACTATTTGTTCTCTGATGGAAGATAAACATTTCAGATGTCAGTATATTTACAAAATGCTGAAAAAACAATGTACTTTTAGTTGCATTCATAAGCTGTTAATGTGTCTGCCATGTCTCTTTCAGCTGTATTCTGAAATCTGTGGGTATTAAATACTATTCGATGACTGAAATAGATCAACTTGGGATTGGGAAGGTGATGGAAGAAACACTTAGTTATTTGCTGGCCAAGTAAGTAAAGAAACTATTTCATTTTTTTTTAAACAGAATAAAAATTACACTGCAACCCATGCACAAAAATGATCAGGTAAATCACCCCAGAATTTTGAGATCCCAGTCAGTCACTGGAGTGCACCAGGGATGCTGAATAGATACCTGCCAGGACAGTACAGCAAAATTGTTCTAGGAGAGTGGGAGAAGAGCTCCTCTATATGTAATAGGACTATGTGGTTGTGTTAAAGTTCAACAGATCTAAGAGAACACGGCACATTTTGCCAAATACTCATGCATATAAATCAAGCCCAATTTATGTACTGTCAATCTGAACACAAAGATCAGAGAAACAAAATTTGTGCCTTGACAGTTACAGAAGACCCACTAAGTATTGTTGATCATATTGTCAAAGATCACTTCAAAACTCCCCTGCATGACGTACATTTAAAACACAGAGGGTTTATTTTAATGGTATTTAAATTGGTGTAATTTAAAGTTTGATGTGAATACTCAAATCAGCCCCACTGGCTGCTCACAACTGTGTCCAAGTCTCTCTTTGGCACTGGATGACTACAAAGGAAGTCATCAGGCACTGTTCTAGGCCCCTGGGTAATTTCAGAGGCCTCTAGTGACTTCATGCCATGTACTTTATGGCAGGGACTCTTTTTGTTCTGTGTTTGTACAATGCCTACCACTATGGGATTCTGGTTCATGACTGGGGCTCCTAGGTGCTACGGGAACACAAGTAATAATAAGTGCCTCCATACTGGCTCTAGATTCTTCCTCCCACCCACAGATCAAACAGAGCTAGGCTGCCAGGGCTTCCCCCACCTGCTGCTACCGTTGGAACTCTCCATCCTGGGGGCTACAGTCTTATGGGGGGTAGTAAAAGAGGGTAGTAGTAACAGGAAGGAGTGATAGGATGAAATTAAAAAAAAAAAAAAAACAGCACAACTTTAGGTGGAATTCAGGGAAAGCTTTGTCCCAAGGAGATTGTAAGACTAGAACAGTCTCACATCGGGAAATGGTGACAGCATCATCAATTTAGCTCAAGTTTGTCCATTTTACTCTAGTGAATATATTCTAGGGAACATTCCTTTACTGTTAGCAGGATAGATTAGAAGACCCTATTGGTCTCCCCCATCTCTAGTTTTACAGCCCTAATGTACATACTAGATGCTTTATAAATAAGGCTAGGTTTTAGTCATGGGTACTTTTAGTAAAAGTCATGGACAGGTCATGGGCAGTAAACAAAAATTCACGGCCCATGACCTGTCCATGACATTTACTATATACCCCTGACTAAAACTTGTGTGGGGGGGGAGGAGGGTGGCCTGCTCAGGAGGGCACCACAGGTGCTGGTGGGGCAGGGAGTTGCAGCCCAGGGGGTGCCATGGTGCTCGGGGGGAAGGAAGTTGCAGTCCAGGGGGCACCATGGAGGCTGGGGGGGGGGGCGGGGGGGGGTTTGGTGGGGCTGGGGCAGGATCCCTACCCAGCTTCTGGGAAGTGGTGACCCCCCAGCTCCTAGTTCCATGTGCTGCCTCCGCTCTGCCCCAAGCCCTGGTTCTGCAGCTCCCATTGGCTGGGAACCGTGGCCAATGGGAGCTGTGGGGTGGTGCCTGCGGGTGGAGACAGCACGTGGAGCTAGGAGCTGAAGGATAGAGTTGCTGTTGCCCTTCTGGGGAGCATCCCCCGAGGTAAGCACCTCCACGCACCTCAACCCCCAACCCTGAGACTCCCCACACCCAAACTCCTGCTGCTGGGGTCTGGGTGGGGCTCGAGACTGCTCCAGCATTGGCTGCTGCAGAAGTCACAGAGGTCACGAAATCCGTGACTTCCATGAAAAACATGGAGCCAATTTACAATCTGTTCCTTGCTTCACTGTGATGCCGTCCAAGGCAGAATGTCATTCCATAACTTTGTTATGTGGCACAAACGTTTTCTAAGTAGGACACAAGAAGTCTGAATCAGGGGGCTTAAGTTTTTTCATTGTTCGTGAAGAACATTTTCATAGGACCACTTTACAGCTTTTCTGAACATATGTGTTTAATTTTATTCTCTTGCTTTCCACCAATAAAGTAAGAAGAGACCAATTCACTTAAGTTTTGATGTTGATGGCTTGGATCCCTCTCTGGCATCAGCTACAGGGACCCCAGTTCCTGGAGGAGTGACTTTGAGGGAGGGTATCTATATAGCAGAAGAACTTTATAGAACAGGTACAATAAACATCTGAAAATTCTTAATATAGTTTTAGATTTAACATTTATAATGTCTACCTTCAGCATTTGAAGTGTTATGCTGAGGGATTTTCTAACTTTGAGGTACATATTGGATTTTTTCACTGCTTTAATATAAGAGGAATTCACAAATCAAATAAGAGAATGTGATATTCAGTACTGCAAGAATACTCTCCTTCATAGTAATAATGTAGGATGAAGGCTGATGAGCTCACAGTTTAGCTGTGGATGTCCAGAGTAAAGCCCGATTTAGTTCTTAGTCTATAGTTAAAACTAGGTGAGCATTGCCTAAGGCCTTGTCTACACTAAAGGGAAAAGTTGATCTAAGCTACGCAATATGAGTTATGTGAATGGATCCACACTACGCGACGTCAACAGGAGACACTCTCCCATCAACTACCCTTACTCTTCTCGATCCGATGGAGTACAGAAGTCGATGGGAGAGCAATCGGCAGTCAATTTAGCGGGTCCGATTTAGCAGGTCTTCACTAGACCTGATAAATCGACTGCCACTGCATCGATCACTGCAGCTTCAATCCTCTGGTAAGTGTAGACAAACCCTCAGCCATACCTGTCATTAAAACTACAATAGCTTGTGGCTCTTGAGTAGGAGAAAGAAAAGGAAAAGAAAAAGAATCCTATTTGCCATGCTTTACTTGGAATGGGTAGTGATACAGATCTGGCAGAGCGCCCACTGCTGAATACTCACTAGACTCCTATGTTTGAAATTCAAGTACTGGATCGTGCATGCTATTAAGCCCACTGAGTCTGAGAAACAGGATTCTCAGGATCTCTTCCAGTTTTCAGACTCCCTGGATGGTACCCCTTTTTGTAAGTGGGACCCCATCATCCAAATGCAGTAGGCTTAAGACCAATGCTGAACTACCACCCCCAAGTCTCACCAATAACTTAACATACCCTTCCCCCGACACTTCACTCAGCAAGCATAAGAGACTTAAGATGCATGCAAAAGTAACAAAGCCTTCACAAACATATCTCACCCTCCTTTGTCCTCACCAGGCGGAGCCCCTTTGGGTTTTGGTCCCTCCTTTTAGTGTCCCAAGTCCTTCCTTTCTCCTGCTCAGTCTTGTATTCTTGTCCTGGTCACTGAGAGGCAGCTGCTAAGAACAGGTCATGTCCATTTATAACTTCAAGCCCCCTCTGACATGTGACCCTCCTGGTCTCCCCGTCAGGTGATCAAGGCCCTCGCTTAGGTGATCCATTTTTTGGTTACAACTCACCAAAGTCCAGACTGGAAAAACTGGTTTCTTGCAGCTTGCCACCTTCTTTAGCATACCCATTGTATTGCCAGAGGAAAGTCATTCAGTGTTTACAGCCCTTGACTGCTTTGCAATGTACACTATCACCACCTCTTGGAATTCCAGTCCAAAATGAAGGCAAAAAGACAACAGGGAAGGCACAATGTTGTTGTAGCGGTGTCAGTCCCAGGATATTAGCGGAACAAGGTGGGTGAGTAATATTGTTTATTGGACCAACTTCAGTTGGTGAGAGAGACAAGCTGTCAAGCGACACAGAGCTCTTTTTCAGGTCTGGGAAAAGTACTACAGCTAAATACGAGATCAAACAGTCTAGCATAAGTAGTTAACCCATATTCTAAGGGCCCATTCAAATCTACACTTTCAGGAATACTTTGCCCATGGCATTCTAAATAGTGAATCCACATGATCTCAAACCAGTGTACTCACATCTGGTAATATCACCTCACCTCTTTGCCTACAGATTAAAACAGCATTAGGATTGAAAATTTAATCAAAGCAGAGAAAGTATCACTCCCTCTTAGTGTAGGAAAAGAAAACAAAAGTATTGCTGAAGAGTGGAGCTCATGAAAATTAAAATTGGAGGAGACAGAGTAGCGACTTAAATAGCAGGTTTTGCAGACCTAGATGTTCTGGAACCAAAGGTTCAAATCTCCTCAACATCTCCTCATCCTTCCTTCAGAGAGATAAACTACCATATAGCTTACTCTCTGTGCAGGGCTTTTGGGAAAGACCTTTAACTGAGGTCCTGTCTGCTCTCATAGCACATTTTGCATGAATAGGGATTTACTGATGTCCAGAGGCTAAATTTTCCATGCTGTACCTACTGGGTAGCACTCTGGTCTCTGCATAGCTACCACCACAGCTACCTGTCTTTTAGTAGCATTTAATTTGTGAAGTGCTTTGTCAATTCATTGGAACGCAGGCGTTCAATAAAATGTAAAAAAGCGGACACAAAGAAGGTTAGAAATTACATGCAACTTTGTAGTATGGGAGCCCCAACAGGCATAGAGCTGATGCAGCTGGCTCCTATGACTTCTTCTTTACACCCTTTGGCTCAGATGACATATTGGGGGTGGGACTGAATGGGTCCTGGGCAGGGAGGGGGGAGTATCCAGAGCATTCTGCACTTTGGCTATGCCTCAGGTAGTGTATGAACCCTTGGGGACAAAGCTACCTGGTTCAAATTAGAGTAGCCCCCCAATGATGCTTGAGGCTGAGGATTAGAGTCAGAATTAGCTCTCTGATATCAGCTCCTTGTTGTGGTGTCCAGCAAAGATGAGCACAGTAGAATATCTGACTCTAAATATCTGCATCCTACGCTGGGAAAAGGCACACTACTGGTTGTCTTCTTATACGAGCCTTTGTTAATGTTGATAAAGAACAAAGACAAAATCCCAAAGGGGAAAAATACATCCTGCTTTGGAACTCTGTGGTAGTGAGTTTTGAATTTCTTGACCTGAAAAGAAAATTATGTATCAATTGAAATTTTTCTCAGTAGAATTGTCATTTGTTATTGCAGGGTTGCTATCGGTAGTAGATATAATGGAGATCAATCCAGCTCGTGGGAAGACACAAGAAGAAGTTAACACAACGGTCAACACAGCTGTTTCAATTATCTTGTCCTGTTTTGGTAAAGCACGTGAAGGTTCTCATAGTTCCAGTTACCGTATACCCCAGCCACAAAAATCCATCTGAACATATACAGTTATGTTCCAAGAAGTTTTTCAGTCCTAAAGTATAATATTTTGTTAATGACTGTTGCTTACTGAATGACTTTGGTAACCTCAAGCACAAAAATAAGCTTTTCGTTGAAGCTCAGACACTAATGAGACAGTAATTGTCACTCATGCTAATGGAGGCTGGTGAAGTAAAAAGTGTCAGATTTGCTCATGCTGTTTTCTACTTTATGACAAATTCTAAAAGTCAAGTCAAATAATTTATTACCACCATTATGCAGTAAATCACATTATTACCTCTATTTACTTACCTTGTTTTCGTTGCTCTCTATAAAGTTCTTGGTTCGTTAAAAAGAAAGTGGACATTTTTCTTGTGCACTAAACTAAGTTTTCTGGAAGAGATTTCAAACTGTTAGTACTAGATACTCCTTAAAAAACAACCCCCTATGTAGTAAGTAACATTACTTAAGTTTTAGTAATGCAGAAGGTGAGCTAGAGTCAACACATCCAACATGTTATCTTACAAATTAAAAAGAAATTTACATTTTAAAATAATGTAAATAAATGTAAAATAATGTAAATAACTGGATTTGGGAAATAGTTTTATAATGGGTATGTAGGTTTCATTATAAATAAAATATTAATTAACATATTGAAATTTTGCAGACAGACTAATATACAGATGTGCTCTAGGCATTATTTTGGGGAAGTTCTATTGCCAGTGTTCTACAAGCGGTCAGAATAGAGGATCACAGTGGTCTCTTCTGGCCTCAGAATTTATGGCTCTCTGAAACCATGGAACGGGAATGCACCATGTAAGCTCCCTCTGGTGGCTAATAACTAAATTGAACTTCTTTCAGAGACTGATCTCAATTAAGTCAGATGACTTTGGCATTACAGACAGTTGTTCAAGTCTTACTAGATGAGTTTTCTTTGATCAAATACATTATTTACAAAAATACCTAGGGTGACCATATTTCCCTAAGGGAAGACAGAATACTGCCTGGGGTAGCCCGGGCCCCCCCTACCACCACTGCTCACCTGACCCCTGCTTCCCCACATCCACACGGGGCTGGCGTCGCCGCTCGCCCACTCCCCTGCACATTCCTCCGCACCGCGCTTCTTTGACAGAAGTGGGCATTTGTCCCATTTGCTCTTGCGAATTGATCAAGTTGGCAAGAGCAAACAGGACACTTGCCCACTTTTGCCAAAAATGTCAGGACAGCTGGGACAGGGCTTAAAAAAGGGACTGTCCTGGCCAAACCAGGACATATGGTCACCGTGAAAATACCAGATAGTTAAAAATAGTCAACCATGTGCATGCCTCTGCATTCTCCATGCTGCCTCCTACAGAGAGAACAATCTCTCAATGCTTACGCATCAGGCCCTTCTATCGCCTCCCACAAATCTGATTATTCACACCTGCTGTGTTTGCCACAAACATTAACCCATGTTGCCATTGTCTTGGCAGCTGAGGGTCTCACCTTCCGTTTTAAAATCTACAATCAGCTACCCACATGTAGGACTGAAATTGTACCCAAACTAGGCTTGCTGTGATAGTAATTTAAAGCATGAGCAAAAAAGCGCAACTTCTAACCAAAAACATTCAGTCCAACGTAGGCAATATTAGGCAAACAATCATTTCTTTTTAGACCACTGATGATTAAGATAAGAGATTAAAGGACTTTCACATCAAACAATGCTGGTATCTGTTTCTGTTGGTCAGGTACCTTATTACAACTGTCTAGGGCAGCAATTCTCAACCCGCAGCCCACGGAATTAACACACAGCTGCAGCCCAGCTCAGATGCGTGTTAAAGGCCCACCTGCATGCCTAGGGTGGCGGGGACAGGATCGGGGCTTCTGGCGTGCCCTGCATGGTGGGAATCCAGGGTTGGGGCTGCTAGCAGGCCCGTGGGGTCAGGGGCTCCAGCAGAGTCTGGGTCCAGAGCAGTTACCCAGCCCCACGAGCTCTGGGGTCCAGGTCCAGGGCAGCCAGCCCGCCCCGTGTGCTCCGGGGCAGCCGACCGGTCCCGCGGGGTAGGGGCTGCTGGCTGGACTGGCAGGGTCCAGGGAACCAGCTGGTCCTGCGAGCTCCAGGGCCTTATTGAAATCCCAGGAGGCAGGCGGGCAGAAGCCAGGCCACATCTAAAGGCCCCTCCCCCAGCCTTGCAGGAGGAGCCATTGGACCCGGGATCCAACTGAAGACGAGGGACAACTAAGGAAGAACAGGGCAGGGAGTTGGGGTCATAGGTTCAAAACTAGGGATCCAGATGGAGACACCGAGCAGAGAACCGTAGATAGCCCCACGACTCCTCAAAGCTGTCTAGGGAGCCAGCAGACGCCACCCAGATACGTGAGACAAAGGAGGAATGGAAATAGGCGCCACAGTCACAGCGCACCTCTCCGTCCAGCATCCTCCTCCTGGTATTGTATATATGGCCACTTTGGAGCTTGCCAGTTCGCTTTCAAACCATGCCAAGGGAACAATTCAACACGGCCAGGAGGAGGTTGACTAGGAGGTCTCGTGACTTCGTGGGGCCATGGACAGGGTGTGCGTATTTGAAAAGGTGTGGGGAGAAGTGCAGCCAGAACCTCTCCAGGAGGTCTTGGAGGAGCCGGAATAGGGGCTGCAACCTGGCATGTTCTAGATAAACATGCGCCAGGGTCACCCTCACATAGTAAAAGGGGCAGGCATCGGGGATGGGGGTGAAGTGCGCCAGGTACACGCCCGTGCTCACGGTTCTATTGAGGAGCCACCAACCAACATCCCGGACAGGCCATGGGAATAGGGTGCAATATAGACTGATCCACTGGGGTTCCTCACCCTCTACAGGTGGTAGAAGGTCCTGCCACTTGGTATCGTGGCGGGCACAACGGTGAAGAAGTGAAATGTGTGGAGAATGAACGTGTAGAGTTGTTCCCTTGGCGTGGTTCACAAGGTGTCTGGGGTGGGCAGCTGGCCGGCCCTGCAGGGCCCGGGGCCATGTGCTGAGGTCCAGGGTAGCCAGTCAGCCCCGTGGGGTCCAGAGCGGGCAGTTGGGTGGCCCGCGCAGCGAGGGACAGGGTCAGGGCTGCCGCTGCCCTGCCAACTGGCCCCTGTGGCCCACAATGTGTAATCAGTTGAGAACCACTGGTCTAGAGCGACAGCCTCGGAAGCCTGCTAATGAGCTTTGCACACACATCAAAAGGAGACTATATCCCAACACGTTTATGTATTTAAAAAATACTAAAACCCATTGGATAGTAATTCTACCACCTAGCTAAAGACAGAATGACTCAGGAGACTGTTAATGGGACAGAGAGCCTTTCAGCTTTAGGTCACAGGTTCAAACCCAGGCTGGTAGTGGCCAAACATTATCTTTTGATGGCCTCAGCCCAATTTCACATTTTGTCATCTCTGCATAGGCCAGGAACTGAAGGAGTTTAGACACTGAGCTACTGAACCCATTTATATACACAGGTAGACCCTAGATGGATGGAGAGGCCTAATTTACATTGTTGCAGCTTGCTTAGTGAAGAAACAAAAGATTTCAGGCTCCAATTTTAAAAGGCGAGAAAAACCTCACAGGTTTTCGAGTTACCAATAGCTCTAAACATTTGCTCCTAAAGGCAGTAACAGTAAATTCTCTGTTACTCTCCACGCAAGACCAATGACCGTAAACAGGTGCTACAAAGAACTGCAGATGTACATTCTAGTCCCAGGCCAATCCCAAGAATTATTTCTACATAGTATAGGACTATTCTGTCGCGTGCGTGCACAGAGTAGTTGCTATTGTTCGGTCAGAGGGCACGCACACACCAAAAATGAAGCTTGATGCTTACACAGCATTTTTCATTCATACATTTTAAACCTGTTAGAAAGGTGAGCAAGTATTACCTCAGTTTTACAAAGAAGTAAATTGAAATACAGAGAGGTGAGTGATTTGACCAAAGTGATATAGCAGACCTGGGAACAGACCTCAGCCCTTCTGTGTCCCAACCCTATCAACTGACCCTTTGGCTCTGCCCCAAAATAACCTTTGGAGAGCCTTCTGGAGAAGCAGACTAAACTTCCAAGATGTGTACTGGATTTCTGGAGGGCACCTAGATGCAGTGTGTTACCAAATCCAGTCTCGGAGACACAAGAATCACGTAACTCAACTTTGGAATGGAACAAGACAGCTTTTTAAACGGCATGCAGAAGTCCTACTCTTCCTGTCCTAAACTGCTGTGAAGTTGCATACCTTATGCAAACCGTAAGATGAATATAGGTAAGGCAGTTCGTAATTATTCACACTGGACCACTTGTTAGAATCCCAGGGGGTATGTATGATTTAAAAGATAGCATCTTGACAACACAGTGCCTTCTAACACTATACTAGGTGTAGACTATGCAGACTGATATGAAGAATTCTTTCTACTGAATCAACGCTATTTTTTATAGCGCCAGGGCTTTTAGCAGGAGGTGCTGATGAGGCCTAACCTTACTAAACGTGTGAGTTCTGTTGAGATCATCGTCTGAGATGGTATTGTTGTAGAACTGAAGATTGAGGACACAGAGACTTCGATGTTCTAATCAACCCCTATTTTTAAACTGAAGAGCATGGCAAATAAACAATAAGACGTAAGATGGCAAATGGTATTACCATAAACTTCAAGGGGTTTTTTAATTAAAAAAAAGTTTTTAAAAATGTCAAATACGATCAATACTTTACAAATCTTAATTGAGACTATTTTCACTTTTGTTATCGAGTCATACCTAGTAAACAACTGAGAGTACACATACACAAATAAAATTTGAAGAATTAAAGTAGTGGATTATACAAACTTAAAATAAAGCTTAGATGTGATAAAAATCCAACCATGACTGACTAATAAAAATTACACCATTTCCCAACTAGGGGAGAAAAAAAAATAAAAATCAACCAGCAAATCTTAATTGAATACACAGATTTTAAACACGGTTCCTTTTCCGATTGTCTTTGGCTAATAATCTAGCAGCCTGTTAGTTCATGCTAGATCAAAGCCACTGCTCATCTATTTACTTTAATGAAGACATCAGTAAGTTCCCTGCTTTACAAGAGTCATCCACAGTCTTTAAAGAGACTGAGGCCAGGTCTACATTACAAATTTACATTGGTGTAACTACATTGCTCAACGGTGTGATAAATCCAACCCCCTGAGCAAAGTAGTCATACCAACCTAACCCGCAGCGTATGCAGCGCTGTCAACGGGGGGGCGGAGGGGGGGGGGAGCAGCTTCTCCTGTCGACATAACTACCACCTCTCATGGAGGTGGATTCTAAGCCGACAGA